AGAGAGAAAGTGAGAGAAAGCCCCATATTTTACATATGACTTCAATTCTCCCCTTTTAATTAAACACATCCTATCTATATCACCATAGCAACAGCTATGGACTCTTCCCTCTCTCAGATGTGTTTTGAGCAGGATCAGAGATTCCAGAGGCTGAGATCTAGCAAGGTCAAGGTGTTTCTACCTTGCTTTCAGAGGGAGCAGCAAGTGGGTCAGGTTGCACAGCTGTTCACCCCTTCTTCCCTTATGCTATCCAGAGAGAGCTATTTCATAATCCCCTTCTGGAATAAGCTTCAGATATAATCCATATTATGTGGTATTATCAATATACATATCCCTCAATAGACTTTACACATCTGTGGGCAGAAGCTACACTCTGGCCCATGCCTAGCTCGGAGCCTACCACATGGCGGAAGCACAAGAGCACGTGAAGAGTGGATGAAATTAACAGGAGGAATTGGCTGTAGATCTTGCATGAAGTGGCTGGTACAATTCTCAGTGTACCCCTCTGCCCCCTTGAAAAGAAGAACTAAAGGAAGGATTTTTAAATGACCTTGTCCAGTGTATCCCAAATCAGGAAGATTCTTCTTCTCTAGCCCCACTACTGCAGTGGAATCCAAACCATGATTCTCTTCAAACATTATTTTTTGCCTGGCTAATGTATTTTCTTCTTTTCATAAATACCCTACTTTATACTGCACATTAACCATTTAGACATGATTAGCAAGCTAAGGGTCTTACTTATTAAAAAGTTAATTTTTCCTTCTTAAAGAAATTGAGACATTTGAATCCCTGAATATGCTCATTTATCACCAACCCCCAACAAGGAATCCAGGAGTTCTCTGTGTAGGACATGAGTAATTTTCATAAAAATGCAGTTGCTGACTGTGTCATACATCCACGCAGCTTTATAAAACAAAGCAAATGATTACCATCAATTACAATAACCTCACTAGACAAGACTGCAATTAATCTACAGCTCTTCAGATAACGACTGTTGCACTGTGCCAAGGAAAATGCCTGGCATTAATTGACTTATCACGATCAGCAATGATAGATAGGGCAGATGGCAATGTGATTATTCACTGTCAACAAAATAAACACATGCTTTCTTGCTAGAAGTGTCTACTTGGGTCCTCTCAAAGGATAGCCAAAAATAGAGGCCAAAGGTGGCTTTGAAGGTAACACAAAATAAAAATTAAGTTAACCAGATTCGCGCAATCTACCCACATAACAAACCTGCACGTGTACACTTTAATCTGTAATAAAAGTTGAAATTCGTTTTTAAAAAAGTTAACCTTCAGGGTGAGATATATTGACTTTTACTGAGGCTAATCCTCAGTAGAATACAATTGAAGGAAATTTCTATAAGAAAATCACGGATTGGCGTGGTGGCTCACGCCTGTAATCTCAGCACTTCGGGAGGCTGAGGTGGGCGGATCACTTGAGGTCAGGAGTTCAAGACCAGCCTGGCCAATAGTGAAACCCCATCTATACTTAAAAAATAATTTAAAAAAAATTCTCCAGGCATGGTGGTGCACACCTGTAATCTCAGCTACTAGAGAGGCTGAGGCAGGAGAATTGCTTGAACCCAGGAGGCAGAGGTTACAGTGAACCAAGATCATGGCACTGCACTTCAGCCTGGTGGCAGAGCAAGACTCCATCTCAAAAAAAAAAAAAAAAATTACGAATTGTATAAAATTTCAGCATCAGAAGATACATTAAAACTGACAGTTTCCCTTGCTCATTTGAGTGTGAGTCACTTTTATGGAGTCACCAAATTCTATTCAGTGCTTAATAACTCCAGTAATGGGGCTGGGTGCAGTGGATCACACCTATAATCCTAGCACTTTGGGAGGCCAAGACAAAAGAATTGCTTTAGCCCAGGAGTTAGAAGTTACAGTGAACTGTGATGGTGCTACCACTGTCTTCAGCCTGTGTAACAGAGTAAGACTCTTTCTCTCAAAATAAATAAATAAATAATAAATAAATACATAAATAAAATAATTCCAGTAATAGGAAGTCACAATTTTCAGAGGGAAACTCATTTCATCAGTGTATCATTTTCATCATTAGAACACATATGTAGCTGAATTCCATCTATATGTAGCTTCCACCCAATGGCCATAGTTATCTTCCCTTAGGCTACATAGAAGATGCCAAACTCTTGTTGCTCGCTGAAATCCTTAAATGGGATCTCAAAGGTCAATTGCTTATCGCACTACTTTGCATATAACATTGTTTTTGGGACTCTGAAATTCTGGTCTCTTGCACCTAAACCCATACCAGTTCGTCCATAGACCCCTGACATTGAGAGGTTTGGAAAGAAATGTGATTCGATGAATGCATCTACCCAGGGCAAGGTATAATTATACCTATGTTGAGGCCAGTGCTCAAGCCTACATTGAAGCAGTGGATGTGTGTGTGTGACCACCCTACTTGGGAAGCTGTTTTCCAAGTCTCATCAGTCTAGACAGCACCCAGCCTTGCCATTTCCAGGGGACAATTACCAAAGTGTGCTTCTCCCCGCTCTTTTATGCAGTGTGATTTTGTTGATTAAGTCCCCTTGGTTTAGAAAACTGGGATAATTCAGGCGGAGTTTCACCTAAAATTGGCATAGTGATTGCTAAACAAAATTTCTTGGGGAAAGTTTTACAAATGTACAAACCGGGACCCTATATCCTGCGACTCTGATTCAGTTAGTTTTGGGAAGGACTGAGAGGAAAGTATTTTGACAAGGCTTCCCAGTTCATTGTGATTTGCAACCCTGCTTACATGTTTTCTTCACTCATTGCTTTCTTCACTGGGAACACATAATAATGTACCATTGTGGAAATGCTTCACAAACCTAATCGTCAGACTCTCCTGGGAACTTTTTAAATGCAAATTCTTTGGTGTACCTGATACCTGTGGTCTGGGGTAGGTCTAGGAAAATTCATACACTAAGAGATCAAATTACTATATGTTTCCCTTAGGGATTTTGGAAGCACTCATTTACTCTAAAATTGTGGTTCATGTATAAGTTACAAAGCACCCTTACCATATACTGAAGAAACAAGTGTCAGTAAAGAATAATACAATGTAAAGATTTTAGCCTACTGAACGTCTACAATTTATCAATTATTCATTTAAAAATTATTTCTACTCTGAGGCAGTGCTGTGATAGGTGCTGGAATATGACAGGATATGGGGGAGAAAAAGAAATAACGGAAAAGAAAAAAATGAGCAAGTAAGCCAATGGGTAAAATAATTACAAACCTTAAAATAACTTAAGAGCAAGAATTCATCTAATTTTGAATATTCTCTAATTCAGACTGGAAGTACCCAGTTATGCTCAAATTCTGAGTTTCTGTCCTGCTTTCACTGTATTTCTTGTTGTACTCTAGTTCAGAATCTGCTACTTGGGAGCCTGGCATTACAATGCCTTTGGCAGACATCCCTAATGAATCCTAGCATTTTTTTCCCTACAGATCCAGGAGGGAGATCCATCCTACAGCTCATGTCTATACAGTCATTATTAATAGATCACAGATAAAATGCTAGATGAAATCTTCATGCAGCTTCTCCAGCACACACTGCCCTGACATGCCTCGGGGCTTTTGCTCACACTAGCCCTCATTTCCTGCTTTATCATTGTTGTTTATCAATCATTGAATACTTTCAGTGTTCTTACATCTGGAATCCCACTTAATTTTTAAAATAACCTCTAGAGGTATCTAAACTGTGCCTTAGAAGGCTAAAGTAACATCCCAAGATCACACAGTGCGTATCAAAGCGAGACTACCAAACTCAGGTCACTGGACTCCAAAGCTGATGGTCTTAAAATTGTTCTTCATTGCCTCTCTTTACAGCCCAGTTCAAAGGGCACCTTCTCTGTGAAGCTTCTCCTGACCCCTTCAAGCAAAATTTGTCACTTCTTCCTTTGAGTTTGCCAGGGCCTTTGTACATCCCCATTACAGCATGACATTATACTTTAATGACTTGAATATAGCACTCTTTGAGTTCCTCTGTGGTAGGAGCCTTTCTTTTTTTTTAATCTCTGTATCCCTGGTAACTAGATGAGTGCCTAGGCAGGCTCTTATTGATGCATTTTTGAATGCACATTAAAATCTGGCTGCTGGACTCATTAAGATTGTGGGTCTGTTTCCTAGTGCTTGGCCTTAACACCCTAAAAACAAGGCCAGATTTATACATGATCTTTAAAAAAATGAAAAGACCACATGCAATACATATTTTTGTAATTTCAAAGCCTTCCTGACATCAGTTATTGAGGACTCTTAAACAGAAACCTAGTTACAGGGCATTTAGGGTCTAAGGACCCCTGATCTCTAATTCATAAACGCCCTCCACTATAATGTAAAAGAGATCAAATTACCTACACCCTGCTTGTGAAGTGTCACACCACAGATGACAACTGTTTAAACCATAGCTTTTGTCCTATAAATGAAACTGTGGTTGGGCTCTCTGCTGTGGCTTGAGTTCTGTCTGGGTTGATGGTGGCACACAGTGACATTTCCATTTTGCAGAAACTCAGGAAACCTATTGAGTTGCCTGACACTTATTTTATGGTATGTTATAGTTTTATGCAAATATGACTCATTATATTCAAAAGAAAAGTTATGGAATCTGTGCTATCATATGTGACACATGAGAGGCTGATCACCCAGATAGGTGTAAGTAAAGACGTATTATATATATAAGGTGAGGGTTTGGGGTTGAAATAATGCTCTAGAAATATCACTGGGCATGAGTCTCAAGAGAGCCACACCAGTGTCTCAGAAAGAAAGAGTTAGTTTCATTGTAGCCTTCCCTGGAAAATACTAGAAGCTTGTTATTGACTTTGATGCCAATTTGCAAAAGACAGATGGAGAAAGAAGGCATGGGTCTTCTCATTTCATAGATTAGGGAAAATCTCTTTGTTATGTTATCCCATCTTGGATATAAACAGGCACCCAATCTTGTACGTTGACATTTAAACTTAGTACTTTGACAGACTAACATACCTCCCCAGAGAAGGCCTGTCCATTGAGGAGGTGCTCCGACCCTTGGCTGTCCTCGCTCCCAAAGTGTAGTCGGATCTCCTCCAGCCGGTGGCTGTATGTCATGGGCCCTCCAGATATGTTGACCAAGTGCTCCTTGTCCAGGCGAAGGGATACATGTCTTCCAGTGTTGTACATGGTCCCACTGACCTGCAAGGCAATTAGCAACAGGTCAGGCAAGGCCCTCCTTCTTCTATGCCTCCCCAAACTCAGCATGGTGCTTGGATCAATGCCTTTTGCTTCCTCTTGATGGGAAGATGGGCTAAATCCACATGTGGAGTAGGGAGTGGCAGCTGCCCCAGAGGGTATATGTGGGATCTATGGTAATTTCTGTGAGGCATAAACCACATGATGGCTTAGGAATTTGAGGTAAGAAATCACAGGAGACTTCACCAATTGTGACTAATATTTTGTGCGTTGCATCTTATAAAAAATGAACTTGTCCTTCTTACTGTAAGTGTTTGGAATGGAAAGATACTGCAAGAGTTCTAAATCTCAGCTGAGAAATTGGAGAAGGCAGTTAGTAAGGGGTGAGATACTAGAAGGCCAAATGAGACAGGGAAGAGAAAATGAGTGAACAGAAGCAGACGCTCGTGGGAGATGGAAAGCCTAGGTCTGAATTCTCAAGCGTCCTATATGGTGTGTCTTGGTTAGTTCCTTTTCCTGCCCTGCAACCAGACATTGCACAGAATCCTCATAGCTTGTGGGCCTCAAGTGTTAAACTAAAGGGATTCACTCAAGTTTCCAGTTTCACAGATTCCTAGACTTACTCCTTATTCCTGATTCCATCTTGCTCAAGCCCCTCCAAACTGCGAACATGACTGCTGGGCATTCGTTTTCCTTCTTTCTTTTCTTGTTGGGCCTTGATGTTCAGGTTCATCTTCCTGACTGTGACCTTAGCACTTCTCAACAACAATTGATTCTAGAACACTCTTTCCCATCTGAAACTCTACTTTCCTACTCTCTTGGGTTGGCTTAGCTTTGGGAGTAGGATCTAGAGCTTAGGGGAGACATTGAATGAGTCTGGAAGGCGTGTTTCTGGGTTACAGGAGGCTGAACTACTTGGATTTTCTTCCTACTTACTCTGACTTCTTTGGCCAAGCCTTCAGCCCTAGTGATTCCTGAAGGGCTTCCTGTAACTTCTGATACCTTCATTAGATGTGGTTCTCATATATATGCTCTATAGCGCTATCATTTTCCTGTCCCCCTTCCACCTTTCTGACACTGGTGTTGTGAATGAGTAGCTCTTGGGTTGTTCACCGTGGCAGAGACCATAATGCTCACCAAATACTCCAGTGACTCATTTTGTTTCCTGCTACCTTACTGTAGAATGGAGCCCATGTGACTGGTGGGGGCCATGGGCTGGGAGGGGTCATGACAAGTGTCACTTCCAGGTTGAAATAGTGGATTCCCTAGACTCACCTTCCCCTGGTACATCGACCAACGACATTATATGGAAATGGCAATGTGGTGCAGCTACTGCATGGAGCTCATGTCAGGCTCGGCCTCTAGAGATTACGTGCAGTTTACAAAAATGACAGGAATTCTTCCCCTCCCTATAACTACGCTCCCAACAATGTGACTTTGTAACTGCTGTCATCTAGATAAGATGCTATTTCTCTACGTCGAGTCTGGGCTGGCCTTGTCACTTACTTTGGCCAACAGCATGTGCTACACACAATATGATAGTCCTGAGAGTAGACCTTGAGGGCACGCATGTTTCTTCATTTCTTCCTGGAGCCGTGAACTACCATGCAAATGAGCCTGGGCTAGCCCGCTGGAGGATGGGACCACAGTGAGGAGAGCCATTGCAGGAGAGGCTGTCTAGACTGGCTATTCTGTGGCTGATCCACTAGCTGACTGGCCCAGCTGAGATCAGCTTAGCCTGGCCCAGATCAGAAATGCCCACTGACCACAGGCTTGGAGCTAAAAAATTATTTAAGTCTCTAAAGTTTGGGGTGGTTTGTTATGCAGCAAAAGGGAGCTGATATACACTAAGTCAGTCATCTTCTTTCTCCTATGAAATCTGGAACTATCAACAGAGACTACTGAGTTTCTGAACTGCAAGGTCGCCTGGTACCAACCATACTGTTAAACAGAGAAAGTCAGATCAGAGAGAGGGGACTGAGGCAGATGTCCCAACATTGACAGAGGAGACCACACACTGGGGAAGAGGGGAGGGAATGGGGAGAATAACTACTTAGCTTCAGATGTCTTTGTGTCTCTTTGATCTAGTTTCTTCTAGAGGCCCGAACTGTACTTTGTAATATTCTACGCCTTACCAACACATTTTTTAACCTCAAGTTATCTTTTACCTTGCAACCAAATGATCCATGCCAATGACTTCACTCCTGTTCTCCAGGCTCAAATAAATGTCTATTTAGTTAGTGTGAGATAATCAGAAGTTGTGTTCTTTTTATTTCCCATAACTTCCTTTGCAGTGCAATAGCTCAAGACAGATTTGTGTTTGACATGACTTCCATCTCTAAATATAACCTATTTTTCCTAATTATTAAGATAATACATAGGCATTATTATATGGTTTGAAAGATATGGGATAGCAAATAGACCACAATTTCACAATTAAATAGTAATCACCACTAATATTTTGGCATATAATTTTCACACTCATACCTATAGACCCATATTTTAATGAGATCATTTTATATATGTGCATTATGAATATATAATAAAGACTTTTCACTTGTATGTATATATGACTTTATATGTTATTCTCACTAACATATAGATATTTCCATGTCATTAACTACTCTTTAGCAATATCACTTTGAAATGTCTACATCATATTTCCTTGTAAAAATATATAGCTGATTGTTGAATCTTTACAGTCCTTTCACTTTTTCATTATTGTAAAAAAAAAATCTGTAATAAACATCCTTATGGATCAATCTTTTCACTAATCCAGAGATATTTCATTATGCAAATTCCAGGTCAAACAGTGTGCACATTATTACAGCATTTACTATGTATTGCTGCATCCATCTGCTATGGGGAGTAGATCCCACACAGCAGGGCTGGATCTCTGTAATTCCCTTCAAATGACATTAAGCACAGAACCATGGGATTCAATCCAGTGACATTCTGTGGTATAAAAGGCAACAAAAAACATTGCTCCAAGTTCCTATGACATGCATGCTTTGTGTAATTAGTCAAGTATCTTGGGCTTCCTAACACTTCTAGAAATCCTTTCATCTATGTCTGTCTAATGTTCCCAAGAAAATTCTTGCCCATTGAATCAAGGCACTGACTACATTTTATGCTTGCCTGAATTTTCCCAGTACTTGGGAAACACATTGGCACCAGCGGGTGGAAAAATCAGGGGCCCTGGAGTCAAAAGATTCTCAGTATGCCTCTTATTAGCCATGCGACCTAGGGTAGTTTACTTAATTTCTTGAAGCTTCAGTTTTCTTAACCATAGAGATAACAGAATTTCCTCCATGAAAATGACAGACAAAAAAGCTGTAAGGCATATTGAAAACAAATAGCAAAATGACAAAGTCCCTTCTTATCAGTAATTACTTTAAATGTAAATGGATTCCACTTGTATGCTGTATCTAAAGTAGCCAAAATCATAGAAACAGAAAGTAGAATCGTGATTGCCAGAGACTGAAGGAGGGAGAGAGAGTTAGTATTTAATGAGTATAAAGTTTCAGTTTCACAAAATAAAAAGAGTTCTGGAAACAGATGGTGGTAATGGTTGTACAACAATATGAATGTACTTAACACCACTGAATTGTACACTAAAAATGGTTAAGATGGTAAATTTTATGTCATATGTATTTTACAACAATAAAAAGTTGGTAAAAATTGCCCTCACGAGGTTCTGATAATTAACTAATATATGCAATGGTCACAAATGTTCATTCTCTTCCTTCCCTTACTCTTGGCTATTATGGCATGGGTGCCTAGGTGATACTGAAGGTTTCTCGTTGTTCTTCCCCATGTCTTCCCAAATTCCCAGAGCCTGGTGGAGTATAAAGTTGCTTGTTAAATGTCATCCTGAAGAACTGAAGCTAACTTCTGCCTTGTGAGGATTCACTGGCCTCTCATTTTGGGTTTTAAGGTGCTAGACATGAGGAGAATGCACAATCATCTTAAAGGCCATGAAGCAAACCCCAAACCAGAAGCAGGAATACACCAGAGTGCCTTCTAGTTCTTCGATCCCACTTCCAGACCCCTTCTGCATGCATGGCTCTGTCTTCATTCATTCATTCAGTTGACCATTTACTCAGAACAAAACATTCAATGCACCTAACTGTGTGCTAGGAGCTGGGGACAGTATGACTGTGAGCAAAGCCAGTCCCTCTTCCTGCCATCATGGAGCTCGCACTCCATTTTGGAGAGACCTGAATGGGGGCACAAAGTTATGGGCAATCCATAACTGCTATCATTTTCCTATGTGTTCTTACAATGAGATGCAACACCCCCTTATCCCCACTCTTCCCCTAGACACCGAAATAACATTAATTTGTATTAATCAAAAAAAAGCTGTGTAGCCAGGGTATGGTTTGTTGCACTTTAATTTAAAAATAAAGGCTTGACAACGTTATGTATGATATCTAAGGGTACATCTGCACTGTAGTAATTAACATTGCAGCAGTGTCATTTTATCTCGAATGCTAATTACTGTGTTTTCAATGAACTACTTTGGTGCACAGCATGTTGAAAAAAGTTGTATTATACAGACCAGGAAACAAAACAGAATGGAGAAGTTGGAGCTGCAAGGGATGTCCAGGTTGCCTCTGGCTGCCTCACAGCTCTTTTTGCTTTATCTTAATTCACTGCAAAATAAGGTGTGAGATGTGTGTGATATCCATTTTAATAGCAAAGAAAGTAAGTGGGGGTTGGTGAAGGTTCAGTGACTTATCCAGAATCACACAGTGGCAGGTGGCGAACCCAGGTCTTCTGATTCCAAGACTAATGATCTCGATGTAAGCAAAGGCAAGTATCCTTGCTCATTTCAGATAAAAAAAAAAAATATGTTGGGGGGCCAGGCACGTTGGCTCATGCCTGTAATCCTAGCATTTTGGGAGGTCGAGGCAGGTGGATCACCTGAGGTCAGGGGCTTGAGACCAGCCTGGCCAACATGGTGAAACTCCGTCTCTACTAAAAATACAATTAGCTGGGTG